AAAAAAAAAAAAAAAAAAAAACTGAAAAAGGTATGTTATGCAGAAAAATAAACTGAACAGCATTTCCCTCAGCATTACATCCAAATTCTTTAACAAATTTCAAATAACAATAAAATACGGAAAACAAATAATAATAAGAAAAAATGAAGAGGGGTATAAATTGGTTTGAAAGGGGCTTTCTGCATTCTCCCAGAGCACCCCAAATACGGGCTCATTTCTTTTTTTGTGCGTTGGCTGTCAAGGGGCGGAGGGGGGTATAAATTGGTTTGAAAGGGGTTAAAGGGGTTTAAAGGGGGGTGCCTTTTTGTTCTGTTTCTTTTTTATCTCGGATTCTGTGAGGAATTTTAATGTGAACCTCAGCCAAAAGTCACTTGTACTCTAGGAAGATTTTCATGCCCAGCCGGGCACCCCCGCGTGACGCCTGGTGGGGTCTGACGCCCGGGGTACCCAGGCGTGGAAAAAAAAAAAAAAAAAGGTCTTTCTGCACTCTCCCAGAGGACCCCAAATACGGGTTCTTTTAATTTTTTGAGAGTTGGTTGTCAAGGGGGGGAAAGGGGGGTATAAATTTGTTTTAAAAGAGCTAAGGGGGTTTAAAGGGGGGTGCCTTACTGTGATTTTGTTATTTTCTTTTTTATCTCCGATTCGGTGAGGAGTTCTGATGTGATCCTCAGCCAAAAGTTGTTTCTATAGCAATTCTACACAACATAGTTTCTATAGCAATTCTTTATTTTTTTATTTTTTTTGTGCGCTAGGGCTGCCTGGAACCCTGCCCGGGGGTCATGCCCGGCCGGGCATCGGGGCGTGTCTCCGGGCACAAGTTGGGTGCCCGGGCGCCCAGAAAAACAGCCTTGCTTGTATTGCAATTCTACACAACGATTTTTTTTTTGGATTTTTTTTTTTTTTTTTTTTTTTGCCGCTTGGGCTGCCTGGAACCCTGCCTGGGGGTCATCACCCGAGCGTGTACCCGGTCATAAGTTGGGTGCCCGGGTGCCCGGGCGCCCGGAAAACAATTGCCTAGCTTTAGGATATATCTGTCTCTGTATCAAGTTTCGACATATTTGGAGAATTTTGGACTAGTAGCTAAAACGTTGGCAAAAACACCGAATTCGGAGAAAAATTTGGCAAACTCCAAAAGCTACTCCGAATAGGGTTTTATAGTGCTTTTGAGTGTTTTCTTTTTTTTTTCTGTTTCTTTTCAGCTGTTTGTTTTCTTTTATGTTTGTATTATGAGCCTGCATTGTTTGTCTGCCGAATTTTCGACGAAATTGCTTGTTGTGATACGACCATTAAACCACCAGTACTTGGCCCAGCTATTGATGCCGAGCCTGAATATGCCCTGCGAGACAAGTTTTGCCGAGCCGCCGCCGCGCCGTTTCGACTTTCTTTTGGCTGGCGCCTCCAGCCATTGCGGTCCGGTAGGTCGAAGCCCATCAGTTGAGGCGCGTTAACAGAATGCCCGCGGCCGATGTATGCGCCAAGTACTGGTGGTTTAACCATCTCTGCAAACCGACACACCACCCTTTGTCTGTCAATAGACTCAATACACACTTTCCAGTAATAGCTTCACAGAAGACATCACGGAACCACATCTGACATGACCAAGTGCTTGTCGACCAACGGCGTGGAGAAAACATACCAAGCCACCCTTGTTTGAGAAGACACAGTAGCTCCCTACAAGAATATTTCCGGCAATCGTTTGGCGGAAGACTTCCACGCCAAGGACGTCAGCAATCAGTTCCTCCGTTTCCTGCAACAATTGAAACCAAATAATCCCTCGTGAGCTCGAGTTCATCCCACCTACACGTACACAAACCACAGGAGTGACCAATCGCTCAGAAAGCGAACCACGATGACTGGCCTCTTTTCAGCCATTTTTCATACTTCTACAACAGAATCATGGCCAGTTATTCCATATTGCTTATAATGGTTTCCTAGTAACAGAAATCGCAGCAGTCGCCTCGTATGTACGCCATTACAATGGTCACTAAAGGGCATCGCCACACCACTCTCGAAATGTGCAAAATGAGAACGAAATTCCCGCTAGAACATGGCCAGATGCAACCGCCACTTTTTTGTCGTTTTCACATTTTGAGTGTAGTGTGGCGAGGCCCAAAGAAAGCGCACTCGTCGTTCAATGAACACCAGAGGTTATACATGCATATCAACCACAGCAACCATTATGGCCAGCAGGAACAAAACGCAATTTCCCTCGATCTTTTGTCTCCCCTCTATAAATAGGAACAAGACGAAATTTGAAATTTCCCTCCAAATGTTTTGTCTCCCCTCTAACGTTCTGCTTATCATCAGAGACTTGGCCCGCAAAGAGCTTGAAATCTGAATATGAAAAACACGCTTTGCTAAATTGCAACTTCCATCATTAGTAAATTGCTATTGGATGTACCTGGACACTACAATTGGTTATCCACTTTCTTGTCGTTATCTGCTTTACATCGACAGCAGCCTCACAGCAATTTCTGACTCTTGATCAGACATCTGCACCATGCCTTTGAATGCAGAATCGAAAGAGAAATCTCTCTCTCTCTCTCCCTCTCTCTCTCTCTCTCTCTCTCTCTCTCTCTCTCTCTCTCACACACACACACACACACACACACACACACACACCATATGTGACACATTCATTCTGGTAATATCCCTGACCCTTCCCCATTCGAGAATGAGGACAACTTTTTGAAATGAGCCCAGCTCCACAGAAGGTCACGATCAAAGCCTCTGAGGAAGCTTAGCTAGACTTGCCCGTTGTCACCGATGATACTAAGGCAGCAGTTTGCGTTAAGAAGACTGGAGGTGGCACGCCCCAACCTCCATAGCTGATGTTCATTACTGAAGGTCGGGCACCTGGTCAGGGAGCTGCAATAAGCCTTTATCAATATAGTCAAGACGGACGAGCATGCCCTGTGGGTCGAGGGTTCCATAGAAGACTGAGAAACTGAAGTCTCGTCTCAATTTCAATTCTCGAATATTGATCTATAACGAAACTATCCTCGTCCTCTCTACTGCTACTTTACCTTTATCTCACTTCTGGTTACGAGCTGCTGAGTTTGAAACTTGTGCTTCATAACTTGATTCTGATTGGTTCCGTTGAGACTGTTTGCTCGTTTCAATACACATTGCTTGTTGTCGTTACGTGTTATTATTAAGATGTTGACGATGACAAATGCGGAGAAATTATGGCGGTGGGATGACATGGGTTTCCAGCATTTGTTGTTCTTCTTCTTCTACTTTTAGTTGCAAGGGATACCATTGTCTCATCTCATCTTTGACTTTTGCATTATGAAGCTGACCAGGATCACAGCAGCCGGTAGTTTTGGGCTTTCCTTTTCTGAGGTGAACACTCCGGTCCGATGCAAGTAGCAGCTCCTCCTCAAAAGTGGCGAGTTGCATCAAAACCCTCATTCCGAAATCATTTGCCACAATCGTGCTACTTCGGACACCGATTGACGGGAGAGAGAGCGCAGCCAAGGCCTGTGAGAACTTGCTCTTCAGTGAGCTCCCTGAGCCAATTGGTGGATGTTGATCAGGAAGGCAGGGCGCTCAATACTAAATCGGCTTTCTCTGGTTTCATCAAATCGTCTTGGAGTGATTGCTCAGTTTCTATTCGCTGTGGAGTTGTAAATAGCCTGACTTCATTTCGATCAAGTGTGCAAGTGAGATAACGGATGGAAGTACATTCTTGAAATTGGCGAAGGGCGGGAACAAAATCAACAAGGGACAACTCACCCGGTCAAGATCTGTATGAATCAGACCCACATAATCATTGCAGGCGATGCAGTTGCCCAAAGCCGATAGACGCTCGTCAATTCTCTGGACCACCACTTCATCAGGTATACAGTTCCGGATGTGGAGCAACTCTGAAACACAGCCAAAAAGGTTTAAACCATGTCCACAACATGTCCAGGAAGAGTTGATACGAGTTCAAAGGCAAATCCTCGTCCTCCCCCCCTCTCCCCTCTGCCACACTGATGTTTACCTTCCCCCCCCTCCCTCACCTCTGATGTTTACCTTCCCCCCCTCCCTCACCCACCTCTACCTCCTACCATTTCCACGGTTGATTTCCCACTACTCCACATGTTTGCACTCGTGACGCTCTATCCTCACATTCTTTCTCTCTCATTTCCAACCCATACGAAAGTCAGACCCAAANCACTCGTGACGCTCTATCCTCACATTCTTTCTCTCTCATTTCCAACCCATACGAAAGTCAGACCCAAACACTTAAGTCCCCACATTCTTTCCCTCTCACTTTCCCACCAATTTGAAAGCCAGAACCAACCACTGTCAGCGATCACCTTATGCCTTTGGACTCCAAATTCTCCACGCATTCGACTAAAGAAACAGAACCAAGTGTCAAAACCAAGATGAGGATAAGGATGAACAAAGAGAAGAGCAAGGTTCCTAGGTCGTCACACCTAGGATCCACCTAAGTGCAGGTCAGATCCCACCGACCTAGGTAGACTGGACTAAAAGAAACAAGCAGGAAATTTCACAAACATCCGGTCGGCTAGCTTTCCCCCCCGGGACGCCCAGGGTACCCGAGCCCGCCCGGAATGGCGCTCGGCGCGCTCGGCCGTGCAACCCCCCCCGGCCAGGCACCCGGGCCCCCTCAGCGCCGTGCCCAAAATGGTGCAAAAGTAAAATTTCGCGCCGCCGCCCATTGGCCCACAGGCCAAAACATTTTTTGGCGGCCGGCGCGCTATTTGTTGGGGCCCGGTACGCCCCTTTTTTGAAGTTTTGTTTCGTTCACTCTTGGCCGTCAATCGTCGGCGATCGACGGCGATCGTAACTCCCAGGATTCCAATTTGAATCCTGGGCCAATCTGGCCCCCCAGTGCCCCTCCGCCCTCCACCCTCCACTCTCCACCCTCCGCCAGGCGCCAGTGGCGCCGTCGCCCTCCCGCCGTGCCCTCGTCGCCGTCCTGCTGCCGCAATCGTCGTCGTCCCGCTGCCACACCATCGTCGTCTGCCGCCTTCTCGCCGCCTTCATCAAGTTCTGCGACGCGCCATCTCCACGAAGGGTCGAACTTCGAGGTAAATTGCATGTTTTTTTTTTTCTTCTTCTTCTCCTTCTTGTTCTTCTTCTTCTTCACGTCGACTTCCGTTTTTTTTTTCTCATCTTCTTTTCCTTCTTCTTAATATTTCTTCTTCTTCTTTCTTCTGCTTCTTCTTCTTTTTCTTCCCGTCTACTTTCGCGAATACTGCCACGCTGCCTTCCCGTCGTGCCTCTTCTTCTTTTTCGTTTCTTCTTCTTCTTCTTCTTCTTCTTCTTCTTCTTCTTCTTCACTGGTGGCCATCGCCTCTCTCTTTCCTCCAGCGGCAGCCATTGCCTCCCTCCTCCTCCCCTCTTTGTGACGCCCGCCCTCCCTCTTCCGCCGTACCCCCCCACCAACTCTACGTCATTGGCCGCCATAGCCCCCCNAGCCCCCCTCCTTTCTCATAGCGCCCATCCCTCCTCCCTCTCCATTGCCTCGTTCCTTCCCCCCCCCTCTCCATCGCCTCCCTCCTTCCTCCCCCACTCTGCATCGCCTGCGTCCTCCTCTCCTCTTCATTGTCTCCCTCCTCTTCGCTCTTCATCATTCTCGCATTCCCTCCTCCGCCATAGGCTCCCTCCCTCCTCCTCCACCATTACCTTCCTCCTCCCTCCCTCCTCCTCCGCCATAGGCTCCCTCTCTCCTCCTCCACCATTACCTTCCTCCTCCCTCCTCCCTCCTTTCACGCAGCGCACCCCCTCCCCCCTCCTCTACTCAATGATCACCAACCACCTCCCTCCATCCTCCCGTCATAGCCTTCCCTCGTCCCTCTCACCATAGCCTCCATCCTCCTCCCTCCTCCCTCCTTTCTCATAGCGCATCGCCTCCCCCCTCCTCCCTCGTCCCTCTCGGCATAGCCTCCCTCCTCCCTCCTTTCTCGGAGCGCACCCCCTCCCCCCTCCTTCTCCCTCCTCCCTCCTTTCACACAGCTCAAGCACAGGCGGGACACAGCAGCTGCTGCATCCCAGGTCCTGCTAAACGGACAACCCATAATCCATGCCGCACCTGCACCCCCTCCCCTCACCCTCCTCTCCCTGCCCCTGCCCCCAAAACACACAAACACATATGCATAGAAATTAGAAACAAAGCCGGATATCGGCAGTACGCAGAAAGCGCAGACAGGCACCAAAGTCCAAGAAAAAAAAAAAATCAGTGCATTTTTTGCACGCCCGGGGTACCCCGGGTGTGGTCCACCCCCGGGCAAGGCGCCCCGTGAAAGCTAGCCAGTCTTATAATTAACTTGGGGAAAAGGCAGGTGGAAACGAGGCACAAAGAGGTTCAAAAAGAGGCTCAACCTTCGGAGGGATTTAACTTAATTCAATTTTCCTTTCCCAACTGTATCAAGGGTTTTGGAAGGGCACTCAGCTAACAGATCTGCAATGTCAAAAAGCTACAAAACAGTACTTGTACGAAAACTTCGCTAAAGAAAAAAGCGCATCAAAATTGTCCTGAGCCATACCTGCCAGGCCAAATGTACAGCACCCAAGCAGCATCAGCCAGCAACGACAACTGTAACACGAACGGTGCAGAGCGGTCGTGCAAGGGAAGGAGAGGTTTGAATCTCTCAACAGCACCCACGAGCTGAGAGTGAGAAGAAGGGAGGAGAAGGGAGAAGGAGAGAAAGAGACCAAGATGGACTAAACTCAATGCCATGAAGATTCAAGCAGCCGCAAGTATTCTTGATCCGAGAATAGAGTGGAGCACTAGACTCAATGCATAAAGCTTCGAACGGCAGCAAGCGAACAGTCCTGCTCGACATGCTGGTGGGCATCAGTACTACTGCAACTAAGTGAGGCTTGTGTCTGCACCTGCCCAGGCAGAACCATTGCTGCCAAATGGCCGAGGCCAACTCCGGGGGTAGCGGGGTCTTGGAGGGAAGGCCCGCGTCCCGGAAAATGCCTTGGCCAACAACCATCCGAAGCACTCACAGAGGTCACATCATACTTCGCCCCGACTCAAAGATGCGATATCCCGGCTGCCTACTGTCTGTTTGTCAGCACCGGGGAGGCCAAGCCCAGCTCAAAAGGTATCAGAATCAGTGAAGGGATTCAATGCTGAAATCTTCTACGCTGGAAAAGTCAATTTTGTTCCTACCTTGGTGGAGGGAAAAAGACTGTGCTTCTTGGGGGCCAGCTTGACCCTGAGAGAGATGGAGCGGGGCATCCAGATGCCCTCGTCGGTGGCTGCGCAGTTTCTCGGATCACGGCATGGAGAAGCTGATAATGCATGCGTGTTTCTGGCAAGACGATTGTTGTGAAAACTGGTATGCTGGGGCCGTTCATATGCCCAGCCGGCAGACTTTTGGCCTGCTGAGAAAGGTCATTCATGCCTTCCCATGGGCATTCATGGCTTCCTATGGGCATTCATGCCTTCCCATGGGCAGGGAATGTGGAGGCGAGAGTGGCCTGGGCTAAGCAGGCAGACTTTTGACCTGCTGAGAAAGGTCATTCATGACCTTCCTATGGGAAGGGAATGTTTAGGCGGGGGGATGCCATCTGTAGGGTGGCATGGGCTAAACTGACACAGCCCAGAAGGGTGGGAAGGTTGTGGATTCTGGACCCCAGGCTGCAGATGATCGCGCTGCAGCTGGGAAACATTTTTTGGTTCTTGCTGAGAACTGCAGGTGAGCCATGGATGCTGGTAACACAGCAGCACCTTGAATACATGACGCGGGGACCACCATCAGCGGTTGACCTTCATTTCACAAGTGTAAGTCTGATGGGTCATATCAGAAGAGATACGGTATGGTCCGGACCGCTGTACCTACCGAAAAAGGTCCAGAATCAATGTAAGATCCCTGAGATAGGGGATGCAGCATTCATCCAGCTTCTGTTTAACAACAGGTCCATATGTGATGAGGACGGGACGCCTTCCCTTCGCAAGGTAAGCTGGGATCTTTTTGGGTAACAATGGGCAGGGGTATACAAGATTGGGCACTTGTGGAACACGCAGCCAGAAGACTGAAGACTAGATGAGGGAATCTGGAGAAGTTGCCTAGGCAAGTGAAGAGGATCCAGCGGCAACAGGTGGAGCTGCTGAAGACGGGAGGTCTGAACGAGCAGAAAGGAGTGTGATTCACGGGGGAGATACGGCCAAGTAGAATTTACAGAATAGAAAGGTTGTTGGATGGCGACCTGGTGGAAGCTTCGGAGTGAGGAGTAAGATCGGGGGGTGAGGGATTAGGTCTCCCACTGGTGGGGTCCGGGGCGGACGGGATTCCAGGCAGTCTCACCAGTGTGGAAATAGCGGCGGTTTGCAGGGGCGACCGGAGAGGAGAGAGGAGTAACTCCCCTTCTGCCACACCGAGGAAAACGGAATTGGATATGGACCCTCAGGAATGATACCTGCTCCCTCAGAATTACAATGAAAAGAGCATTCCGCTGCAGCAGATTACAACGAAGGCAAATCCAGCAGTGCTGATGATAAAGCTGGATGCACTGACGACCGAGGGGGCAATGTGCAATTTTGGAGGCACTACCAGACAAGAAGCAGGCTGGACTATTATGGCAGATTTACCACCTGGCTATACCACGGCGTAGTGGCGAGCTATGAAAAGTCAGTATAAGGAGGTCAACTGCTCAGCTGAGGGATGTGGCAAGGAGGAAACTGTCCCAAATGTTTTCATACATTGCCCGGCAGTGGCCAGCTACTCCTGGAAATGGTGGGCTGAGGAGGCGCGGGAGTCGTCTTCCCGGGCAGTATGAGAGGAGGATGCGGGGACTCGGCTAGGTGCTCTAATGACAGTGTGTGGGAGGATGAGCTGAAGCTGTTCACTAGGGGGTGGTAGGGCCTCAGTGCTGTGGGCTACACAGACGCTCAGAAATGAACGTATCCAGCAGGGTAAACAGGTTACAATGCCAGTCATAAGGGAAAGAACCATGCAGAACTTGCGGCTTGCTGTTCTCATAGATCTGCAGAGATGTAGGCGGGACTAATGGAAGGATGACGGCAAGTTTTGGAAAGTCTAGGGAGACTTCCCTCGGCTGGCCAAAAAGGAGGTGGTCTATCCATCTTGCATTCCAGCATTCCATTTCCCTGGTACCTTGTCCAGATTCGCAGCACGCTTTTTCAGCGTCCCGCATTTTCGGGTATACATACTTGACAGAGTTCTTCAATTCCTTGTGCATTTCTTCTCACGCATCTGACAAAAGCACTCCTTTCCATTGGCGATCTCACAGATCCACTCCGCCACGCATACAGTGCAGTTGCAGGCAACTGCTATCACCCATCTACAGCATGTTTTAAAATATTGACCCTTGCACTCCCTCCCCCCCCCCCCCCCCCCCCCCCCCCCCCCCCCCCCCCCCGCCCTTCCACAGGAAGTCAGGGCACACATTAGCAAGGACCTTGCTCACAGGATCAACTCTCAGCTCGGGGACTTCATCCCACTTGTCGTTGAGGTAACATTCATTGCAAAATTCGACAAACCACCGAATCCAACTCCCACAAGCATTTGAACTGACAAGATCCACGAAGTTCATCCATCATACAAACCCGACACACAGCATAGCCCACAGAACACCCCGTATAGCCAACATACGAACGGATAGCATAAGAGCCTGTTTTCCCACACCTTGATCTGTCGTTGAATTGGGGAGTAGCAGTCCATTCTTGTTTCCTGCATACAGAAATAAAACCAAGCGAAAATGATAAACAACAATACAGAAAGCGGCAAACACACATCCAGCTTCGAATTTTTACGGCCACTGTCACCACCACAGAACTGCAGCCCTCATCCGTTTAAAAATTGTCAGTCGTGACCACAATGTAATATTGCATGAGAGAATTTCCACCGACCGCAAAGAACACGAGGGCTTTTGGAGCTCTCAGGGATTCTTTGTCCCACCAGATAACCCCATCTAAAAATTATCGTCCGTGACGAACGGGATGGAAGGGAAAGATTGCTCTCACCCATCCTCCAGCAGGACGGAATTCACTCGGGCTCTGAAATTTCAGGCAGGCTTCTGGGCTCCCCGACAGTTTCTGACGGCTCTAGGCTGGATGGGGTGCCTCCAACAGGGGACCGGAATGAGCGTATTTGTGTGTGGGTGTGTGTGTGAGCATGTGTGTGTGCGGGTGTGTATAGGCTTGCACATGCACACGTTTATACGTGTAAGTGTGTTGTAAACTGTCACCATAACCCCCCCTTTCCCAGCCAAATGACCAGATCCAGATTTGAAATAAGCCACTTGACATTAGCGAACTGTCTCCACAACCCCCCCTTTTCCACTCAAATTAATAGATTCTGACTTGACCTTCCTGTGTTGTGTCACACCAAAACAACCCCTTTCCCATAGCAACGAGTAGATGGAAATACGAAACAAACTGCTTGGCCTTAGCAAACTGTCTCCATAACAACCCCTCTTCCACTCAGATTAATAGATCCTGAACTGAAACAAACCATTTGACCTTATGAACACACAAAAAACATGATATTGCCGTGTCGTGATGCAATTCTGTCTTTCCCGTTATATCGCCTTCTCTAATACTCAAAAAGATATAGAGGGTAAAGGGTAGAGGGTCTCACGTGAGCATCCCACGTGAGCCCCCATTCACAGTGTTGGTAAAGTACGAAATGGGTCCACGGCCCGTGTTGAAAGCGGCCGAGCAAGCCCCGGAGCCCGACTCTTGTTTCCAGTTTGGCGGCGAGTGTTCGAACGTCATTTTTCTGCGGTTCTTTTTTTCGCGCCCGACTATCGTATCAAGTCTGATGGTGATTTTTTCAAATATTGTTTTTCGGCGGTTTTTTTTTCGAGTCTGGCGGTGACTGTTCAGGCTGAGGTTGGTTCGGGCCTGCGTGAATGCTGTTGATGCAGTTTTATAAACGGGGTCTTTTCTGGCCGCGGGTTTGTGGACTGAAACTACAAGTGTGGTAGTGTTATATTTCCATGTTCTAGCCGAAGATCCATTCGATTTTGCTCATCCTATCGATGGAAGTAGCATGAGGCCAGCCGCGAGGTTGGAAACTTACCTGTTCTCTCTCCCTCTCTCTGTGTCTCTCTCTCTATCGATGGAAATAGCCTCTCTATCGTTTCATGCGCATTTTGTTCATCCTGTCGATGGAAGTAGCCTCTCTCTATCTCTCTGCGTGCATGGCTGGAAAACTCTCTCTCTCTCTCTCTCTCTCTCTCTCTCTCTCTCTCTCTCAAAATGATAACCTCCCTCTCTCTTTCTCTCTCTCTCTCTCTCTCTCTCTCTCTCTCTCACACACACACACACACACACACACACACACAAAAGTGTGGCAGTGTATATTTCTCTGGCTAAGATTCATTCCGATTTTGCTCATCCTACACACAGACACAGAGACCGACACTGCCACGCTTCACCAAATGGGCAAAATGGGATTGAACTTTCGCCTAGAACATGGAAGTATCCACTGCCACAACATGGAAATATACACTGCCAAAGACCAAAAATGTGGCAGTGTATATTTCCATGTTCTAGCGACAGATTCATTCCCATTTTGCCCATCCTATGGATGGAAAACTCTCTCTCTCTCTCTCTCTCTCTCTCTCTCTCTCTCTCTCTCTCTCTCTCTCTC